TGTATATCGTAAATCCTACACCTTAAGTCAGCAAATAAAATTAAGCTTAAGATATACAAGGTATCGAAAAAAGCGAGATATTAAAATTAAGTACATCTATTAAGAATTGGGAAATAAGAGCGGTCAGGAAGTTCCGTGTCATCCTGTAAATTAATACCGTTTTTTTGCTGTTGAATTTAGGGCATACACCAATTGATTATTTGAATAATCGTTATGTTTTTAAGTTGGCTTACTTTTGTTTTTGTAATAACACATCAGATTGTCATGACGGTGAGACAGACCCGTTTGCAATGATCTAAAATTTTCATGGCTTTGATTTCTAATGTAATGATGTTATAAACTACCGAATAATAAATATTATAAACTACTGACAGCTATTGTTCTCAGAATGATATAAATTGCGATATTTTTTATTAAACTTTATTTTTTGATCTATTAATATCGAGAAAGATTCATAAGGAATCGAAACGATTGATATATTACAATTTTTATATTACATAATTATTTACTATAATTATAATACCTATAATTCTATAATAAGTATAATATTGTTTCTGACATAATAATTGTGTTCTTTTTTTTGTAAATACTTGCGCTCAAACAGTTTTCGCGCAATCCTTGGCGGTCCAGCTATGAATAGTGATTCTATCAATATTCTGGATAATTCCAATGTACTAATTAAATCGATGTTTTCTTACGTATATCATTTTTTGAAATGTGTTTAGTACATCAATCATGAGATCTCTTCTAGCTTTACTTTTCAAAATTTTTCTTTATAACTGATCACGATGCATCTTACATGTCATCAAATTATAAAACTTTTGGTTATTAAATATTCACTTTTTTCCATGAAAGCCAATGACGACGCTGTGAACTGACACGTATATATTCGGTTGTATCGAACAATAATATGAATGTTATTAGTTTCCCCCTCTGTAGTTCCTCTTAATATAGTAGACAAGCAATCAAATAAATAAAATGTGCAATATGAAATTATTGTTCGAGGAAATTATAGACAACTAGGAAATTACTGAATTATAAATTTTTAGTTTCGTCATTATACATGCGCCAAGTTTTAACAGATCATATATATTTTCTATATCTTTTGTTTAATGAAAAACTGGAATTATGATAATCGTTTTTTATAAATTTTATATATATACTATGCATGCTCTCGAGGGCCCACTATTCGGGCACAGTATTCCTGATGGACTGCAACATTTGTATCATGCGGTTTAAATCGAACGACACATAACGCGCTTGCGTATTTATGATTGGCGAACATTGTAAATCATAATAACTGAATCCGAATAATCGATTTAAGTTAAGCACTTTTGCCAAACCATTATTCTGTATTTGCTGCACTCCACTTGCGACTTATCTTCTTCTGTGAAGATTTTCATCGTCATTTTAGAAAGAGTTACACTTTCTAAGATCTGTTTAATTTTATATTATTATTTCATATTATTATCATGTTTAATTTACTATTATTAATGAGTAATTAACGTTCATAAATATTGTAATATAGTGACGTATATCGCGACAATAAACTTCGAAGAGCATATTTCGCAACGAAGGCATTTGCCGGGTGAGGAGGTTTGAATACTCTAATGTAAGAGCTACGCCGGTGATAACGTAGTTACTGGTAGAATTACCTATGCCGGACAATTCGAGAGGAAAGCGTCAGACTAAGAGAGATACTGTAGTAATATTTTTTATATTAATATTTTTTTAAATTAAATAAAAGTGAAAAAGACAATAATTGAGAGAAAAGGGAGCCGTTTGAAAATTTTTTAAGAATGCCTGAGTACAAATAGCAGCAGAAGATATTCCGATGGACATCACAAGAAAAAAGAAGCGCAACAGATTCTGAGATACGATTTTGAGATAACGAAATTTGATAAGCCATAAAAATACAAGGACTCGAAAAAGAAGGTATATTAGACAGTATCTCTATTACCGAGCTTCTTATTTAGTGTTCTGAATAGCACCCCACAAGATATAAAAAAAACTCTCAACATTTTAACGCTGAAACCAATATTACAAGAAATATCGCGATTTTTCGTGTGACATTTTGCGAAAACCTAACAGTATATCTGTCACCATCTGTCATCAAATAAACGTGAAAAAATTAATTGACGCTGTTAATTATTAAATCTACTTCTATTTCGATAGAATACGGTTAAAACTAAAAAAATATAATAATTATAATAGAATAGATTTCCGCATTTCGAAAATTACAATTTTTTGTATAATGTGTACAAATATATTTAAGTCTCGTGAGAATTAAATTTTTTTGCAATTCCGACTTTTTATTTGGAGTTCTGGATAGCACGTTTCAGAAATCGATTTCATATATGTTGTATAAAGATATATCTAAATCCCAAAAGGAGTAATAAATTTTTTCGTATTTTCGGACTTTTGGTTAGAGTTTAAAATACGTAGCAATCTACACGAAATATAAGAAAAAGATTTTAATAAAGATAAGATTTACTATTTAATAAAATTAAGATTAAACTTAAGGTTTTAAATGCTAAAGCCAATATTGCATAATATATTGCGATTTTTTGTATGACGTTTTCAAAAAATCTCATGAATCATCATATAAACGTGAAGAATCAATTAATGCTGTTAATGATTAGAAGTCCTTAGAAATCGAAGGAACACGGTTAGAACTACTAGAAAATTTATATTATACTATAATATATAGAATAGTACTCCATTCCGAAAATCAAGTAACATTTAGAATAGATACGTTAAACAAACGATCTTTAATCAAGCGATCTTTAATCAAGCGACTATTTACAATCTTGAGTAAATTGATTAACGTTGATAATGATTAGACCTTTTTAAAAATTAAAAGAACACAATTAAAACTATAGGAGAATTTATTATATTATAATAGATTAGAATTCCGTTCCGATAATCGAGCAACATTTAGAAAAGATATGTTAAACAGGCGACTTTCAATTATATACAATCATAAGTAAATTAATTAACGTTGCTAATATTTAGAAACATTCTTAAAAATCGAAAGAACACGATTAAAATTATAGGAAAATTAGAATAGACTTCCATTCCAAAAATTTATTTTTCGTATGTCATATAAAGATATATCTAAAAATCTCGAGACGAATACTCTTTTCCGTATGTCCGGTGTTTTAATTAGAGATCTAGGTAAATATCGCACAATACAAAAAGTACTCTTTTACACTCTAAGAACGTTTTCGAAAACCTGACAGAGAGAGAGAGAGAGAGAGAGCATATCTTCAACTGAGCGATCATATGATTATGGAAAGATTAATTAACGCTGCTATTGATTAAAACTTTAGAAATCGAATAAATACAATTAAAATTGTAGAGAAATTACAATATAAAATAGATCTCCTTTTGTTTCACAAATCAATTTCTTGTACACCGTTTCCAAAACATTTCTTATATAAAAATGATTACTAAATTAATAATATTAATTAATAAAAATATAAATAAATAAATAAAAATTAGTAAATTTGTACTAATATAATAATACAACACTAATCTAAAAAAAATAATTTTTTCATATTCAGCTAAAATTAATGTAAATTCACTGCTAAAATACTCAATATTAAACCAAAAACTAACTCTGATTCTCCTTCAATAAAATCTATAGGATTACAATTTAATTCAATCAAAATCCTATATCCGTTGCATAGCACACGCTTGTAGTACCCTAGTAAATAATATATGATTATGTCGCAAAACAGTTTCCTCCAACACATGTATAACATAATATTGGATTCTTGCATGTGTCTGTCTATATTATATTACTATTTGCAGTTATCCTTCTGTATTACTGATCACAGTTATCCATTGGACAGATAAATTTTCCAGAGTGCAACATTATATATTAACGATACTGAAACATGCTTCATCTATTTTAAGCGATGCATTAGCATCGAAATAAGGAATTGAAAAATTCTTCTACTTCCACTGAAAAATAAATGTATATTTATAAATTATTTATAGGACATGGATTAACCTTACAAATTGCGTTTTACCAATATTATTTATACTTATCTGTAGTTACATATGATGCATGACGAATAACTATATGATGACACTTCTTTAATAAATGCACTCAAATATACTAGATTCTTATATGCGTATGCCTATAATACTGTTCGCAGTTATTCATACTGGTTTTTGACAAGTATTTAACGTTAAATTTTCTAGAGTGCAACATTATATAGCGTAGCACTCTTCCATTTATAAAAAAGTATGCAAAATCTTCCTGATATTTTTGGATAGTTGAATCTATAGAATATACATACATATCTTATAATAAACATTATAGAATACACACATTTCTTATAAACATATGTATTGCGATGTTTTGTTCTGTTTTTACACGTAGCAGAAATTACTTTTGTGATGTTTTATTTTTTTCTAATTTTCTAATATAAATGAGATATATCTGATCCAACTATCTACAAATATTCACTTTTTTATAAATGAAAGCGTACGAACACTACAATCTGAAATTTTGCACACTTAAGGTAATCTAAGGTACTCTCAACTATCCGACTCGCGTATAGATACCCAGGGTGCTTCGCTCTTGTTACGCGCGGTCTTTGCTTTGCGTGACTTGGCGCGAGACACTACCGTGTCTCTTGATAATACACAAATTGTTTTTACAAATTTCTAGATATATATAACATTTAAATCTTAAGAAATATTTTTTATAATGTATTTATGCAAAAAGATCAATTAATATAAAACACATCAAATCTAAAAAGCGCGTATATACTGTCTCTCTTTTTTACATTATATAATTATAGATAAATAATTGCTCGATTGTATAAGCATATAGTTATTTTGTTGTATTTAATGCACATAAGTGCAAATTTATTTGGCTACTTTTAAGCAATAAGAAAATTGATCAAAAAATAACTAAAGCACATTTTCAAAATACAAATTATTTATTTATTAATGCTTGAATTTTATATACGTTAATATGATAAAATTTTAAAAAATTTAAGCTGTAGATACATTGTGCGATATAAACTTTCAATAAATACAAGAATGTAATAGAATTTATAATTCATTTTTCAGAAATATAAATTCTGGTGCTCGCACGGTTCCAGCAAACATTATCTCTTTGTACACTTCGATAAAGTAATGAAACGGACGATCTACGACCAACTCTTGCCGTGGACCTACCGGTTCTCTTACTTCGCTTCTGTCAACTGTAATTAAAAATTTTTTATTGCAATGCTTATTTACACAGTATTCGCCTAAAGTTTTCTATTACTCACAGATGTATCCATCTGGTACTTCCGAACTTCCTTCGTTAATCTTCACGGAAACTGTTTGAACAATATTGTTCACTTTTAAAGGAATTTCTGAGAGACGTGTAAAATCCGCATTATCTCCGAACATCGTAGTAACGCCCATTTACAAGCAATTATCAGTTTTAATTTCTAGAATTTATCCAAAATCTCTTACATATCAGTTGTAAACAGATTTTGTTAATTACACAATACTTACTTTACGGAAAAAATCTGTCATATTTTCATGATATGCAGTCATAAACTTAGATAAATATAATTCCGTATCTTGCTCAAATTTGTTTGTGTATGTAGTTCTAACTGATTGAAATTCTGAAAAGTTATGCTTTTTTCTCAGGTACTCCAGATTTCCAGGTTCCAAATTTTTATTTGGCAAAAATACAGTCATTGTAACGTTGTTATCCTGTAAAATTATATTTTGATTGAATATTTAATTCTTGATATCCTATAAAATTATTTTTTGATTCATTATTTTATTTTCGAAAGTTGTTTTATAAATAATAATTATTTACCAAAAATGGAATTTCAATGAACTTGGCATTCCAATGTGGTATTTCACCATGAATAAATGTCGATTTTTCAAATTTACAACAATCTTCAAATTTGGAACAAAATACATTATTGATGAAGAAATATAAAACTTGCGTCTCACTAATTTTTTTTTATGAGTTGAGTTCAGCCATCTACTATTTAGATAAACAACATTTACCAACATATTTTTTGTATCTCTGTCCACATTAACTATTCATATAAAATATATTGTTGTTAACAATGCGTTTTGCATAAACTATAATTTATTTATATTTAATTGTTAGTCAAACATTTATACAATATATCTGGAGAAATTATGTAATCTAACATATTATAATTTATTGCTTTTTGGGCCCATAAATTTATAGTTTCTGCAATACTTTCGTTATTTCTGAAATGTACTTTTGAAATCAAACAATTAAAGTTATTTATGCATATTGATGAGAAGTCGGCCGTTAGCTCAACTGAATTTTGAATATATACTGCAGCTTTTAGATGCAATTCGATGTTTCCAATACCCTAAAAACATATATAAATATATCATTATTCAGAAAAATTTTGTACTATAATATATTTTTTTATTTTTTATCTTACATATCATTCATTATCTAGGTTATATTTTTCGGAAGTGGAGCCCCCCCCGTAGGGAGGGGGCGAAACCCACTGTGTCCATGCATATACTTTACAATACGAAGCGACGTTCAGCCCAGAATTGCTGTGTGGATGAGAAAGTGTATACGTGAACGCAGTGAGTTCCTCCCACCCCCTACGGGGGGCTCCACCTCCGGAAGATATAACCTAACTCAAACCTATTTCTGAAAATTTGGTTTAAATTATACAACGTCCTGATGCGGATGGACCTCGCTTCTTGCGTGGAAATTACAAACTCATGTAAAAATTACATTTTATTTCTCAAACTTTATTTGTTAATAACTTTTTAATAAACAATGACCGCCGATTAAGTTATAAGGAAAAGTTACTCAGGATTATGTCCTTGACAATATATGTCAAGGTCAACATCATTGGAGCTGGGTCCGTTATAGTAAATAATTACCCATTTTCTGTCGCTCCTTCTTTAGTGCCGTTTAAAAGTAAGGAAGTTATCATATATATATTCGTAAAACTGTATACTATGTTTTTTTATATTCATCAATCGATTCTGTGGCAAAACATATATTAAAAATTAGGCAACTCAAAACTTATATAAGATACCAATACATCGATTACATACTATATACGATGGTTTTTTTAGACTAGATACATCCTTTAATTCTACATATATTACAATCGCTGAAGATAGATTTTTAGTATTGCTACTAAATGACATTGATGCATCGAAGGCACATACAATGTTAGCAATGATCGCAAATAACGCTGGTAAGGGGAATATGTTCGTTATAAAATTAGGAAGAGGCGGTTATTTCAGAGTACATTAATAATTTATGGCTCAACTACTGAAATTTATATATTATTATGTATAGAACTATATGTATATTATTATTATTATAAGAAACATTTTTTAAATTAAAAAATTTGATATGATTATCAGCAAACATTCATGGAATAGAATTGTATAAAATTTTATTCCAGTATAATTAACTCGACGTTTTGCCCATTAAAAAAAAACCCTGGAATCTGTAACGTAAAAGATTCGCAGATCTTTGAACTGACCATATTCTATAACAGAGTTTATAAAATAATAGTAACCGGTTGAATCTATCAGCGATCGCCAATGAATCGTTGTAATCCCATTGGCGATTGCGACAAGTATCGACAAATATTTCAAATAATTTGAGATATGATTAATAACTAATTATTTTTTATATACGTTAAATAATACGTAAGTATATCGCTTGAATAAATTTCAAAGCGCATATTTCGCGTGATAATTACACATTTAATAAAGAATCGAAGTGACAGGAATCAAAATTATAAATTATTGTTTTGTTGCAATCTCTTTCTCTTTTTCTCTTTTTATAGGCATAAATTATTTTACTAACAATACTTAAAGTTAAATTATATTTTATCCGATGTTATTTCATTCAACTTTTCGACGATCCCTAAATATATTTCAGATTAAAAACAAACAGTAAAACAATCAAATCACAGAATCATAACTAACAGTAACGAAAAAAGCTTCGTGATAAATCGTTTAATATATAATTAATCTATAATTTAAGATATTTGTATAATTTAATATTCTGCGTATATACAAAATGATTCAAAAGATTACTGACAAACTTCAGGAGCGTACAGAGAACTCGGAATATAACAATACAGCAATTTTATTTCTAACCTAACCCAAACTTATTTTCAGTTTTAAAAGTAAAGTTGGGTTGGGTTAGGTTAGAATTTTTTTTGGGTAGAAATGCAGAGGTATGGACTCCGCCTCTCCCCCGCCCACGCAATTAATAAATAATATTTTTCAAGACAAGACTCAGAAATTCCTGTAGTCGCTTGTTGAAAGCTGTTAACGAACTGCGAGAAATAAATGAAATCGATTATTGACAAATATCTATGACCATGTACCTATCCCGTAAGTATAAACAAACACTTTTTCCATGTCAACAATCGTCTATGCAGACGGCCAGCAATCTTAGTACATGTTTATGTCGGAAGTGATTCATAAGCCTAGCCTCTTCTAAAAACTTCTTTTTCTCTTGCAAGGAAGCATTTTTTCGAAGCATTTTTATGGCAGCGGATATCTCTATGCCCGGTCTTTCTAAATTCTTTACTGTTCCTCCTGAAACACCTGCAAAATATTTAAAATAAACTTAAATTTATATTTCATTAAAAAATATATAGTTTAATGTCAAATGACATTATATATTTTATTTTGTATTAAATAATAACGAAAAATACATAGTAGAGTGCATGTTATTTCACAAAAACTTTGCATTACTTATAATCTCTTATAAAAAGTTAAGTATATAATTATTTTTATCGAGAAACACGTATCTGTCTCAATTTCTGTAGACCTAGAAATTAGCGAAACATTGAAAAAGTTAGTTTTTACCTTTCCAAATGCGCCGCTGCCTAAAAGTACCTCTAATTTTCTCACGTTTGATTTTGGTCAGTATATATTCATCCAAATTATATTGCAGCATAGGACTGTATAACGTATTGAATTGAACGTTACCGTTAGGTATCTCATGTAGAATCGCTAATTCGATGTCGGTCATTATCAGAGGCAAAACTTGCTCGTTACTTTTTTTACGTTGTCGATACACTGTTATGATATTGTTAAAATTGCAATATATTTACTTAATAGAGAGTAGGCATTGCAAAATTTACATCGTTTTTCTAACAAGTAAATTAACTTTTCTTAGAAAATCTCTTATAATCTCTCTCTTTCGCAATTAAAGAACTAAATGCGTATCAAATATACTTACAGTAGTAAAAGTAGCAGACGCAGATTACAGTAACTATAGCGACAAAGCTTATGGTGAATGATAGGTAATATTGCATAACCGATATTCCAGAAGTGCTCGAAATATCACCTTTGTTACGCAAAAATATACTCTTAATATATTAATTTTAATTAAAAACTTACTCCTACTTATAACATTACTATTAAAAATTACTAAGTTTTTAAACTTTGTAAATATTTTTATGTTTAAAATAAGTATATAATGTTATATGTTTTGAGACAACGTATTATAAAATATAATCAAATCAGTTAAAATACTTTGATATTAAAAAATTTGATATGATTATCAACAAACATTCATGGAATAGAATTGTATAAGATTTTATTCCAATAACTTAAATTTAATTTAATTTTAATTTAACTCGACGTTTTGCCCATTAAAAAAAAAACCCTGGAATCTGTAACGTAAAAGATTCGCAGATCTTTGAACTGACCATATTCTATAACAGAGTTTATAAAATAATAGTAACCGGTTGAATTTATCAGCGATCGCCAATGAATCGTTGTAATCCCATTGGCGATTGCGACAAGTATCGACAAATATCTCATATAATTTAAGATATGATTAGTAACTAATTATTTTTTATATACGTTAAATAATACGTAAGTATATCGCTTGAATAAATTTCAAAGCGCATATTTTGCGTGATAATTACACATTTAATAAAGAATCGAAATGACAGGAATCAAAATTATAATTTATTGTTTTGTTGCAATCTCTTTCTCTTTCTCTTTTTTTATAGGCATAAATTATTTTACTAAAAATTCTTAAAATTAAATTATATTTTATCCGATGTTATTTCATTCAACTTTTCGATCCCTAAATATATTTCAGATTAAAAACAAACCGTAAAACAATCAAATTACAGAATCATAACTAGCAGTAACGAAAAAAGCTTCGTGATAAATCGTTTAATAAATAATTAATCTATAATTTAAGATATTTGTATAATTTAATATTCCGCGTATATACAAAATGATTCAAAAGATTACTGACAAACTTCAGGAGCGTACAGAGGACTCGGAATATAACAATACAGCAATTTTATTTCTAACCTAACCCAAACTTATTTTCAGTTTTAAAAGTAAAGTTAGGTTGGGTTAGGTTAGAATTTTTTCGGGGTAGAAGTGCAGAGGTATGGGCTCCGCCTCTCCCCCGCCCACGCAATTAATAAATAATATTTTTCAAGACAAGACTCAGAAATTCCTGTAGTCGCTTGTTGAAAGCTGTTAACGAACTGCGAGAAATAAATGAAATCGATTATTGACAAAATATCTATGACCATGTACCTATCCCGTAAAAACAAACACTTTTTCCATGTCTACTCTACGACAAATACAACGTATACAAACTTCACATTTTCTCATGTTACTTTATAATACCTGAGAAAAAGCTGATTAAAACTGTGAAACTTTAATTTGTTATATCTCCTGAACTAATGCCGTCCGCCACTTGATTCTTGCGGGGAATTATTCAGAACCCTCCCTTACAATATATCTAAGTGGCGATAAAATTGGTGAGCTACAATCTTTTATGCATATTTATCCTAAAATATATAAATTATCGTTTTGTTGCTATTTCTCTTTATGAGCAATAATTATTTCTTTAACAATATTTAAAATTAAATATATTTTGTCCGATGCTTTATCATTGGATTTTTCAGCAATTTAAATATGATGTGGATTGAAAACGCGCAATTAAATAATCAAATTGCAGAATTGAATAATTAACTTAATGAAAGATTTCGTGATACATTTATCGATTAATAAATAATTAATCTATAATTTAAAATAATTGTATAATTTAATATTCCGCGCATACATAAGTCATAATACGTGAAATATTTCGACAACGACCAAGTTGAAATGACGGATTGCCGGGCGAGATATAGGTTGTATGAGGACCCACATTCTAGATCAAATTCTGGTTAATATAATCGGCAATTAATTCATCATCGAAATCTGCAGTATTTTTTTATTGTTAATACAGACGAAATTATTAATTTTTTTTGTTTTTTGATATGAGAAAGGAGAGATAGGAACGATATGATTTTGACAATTCTATCTTATTGTTAGTCGAATTTATCGCTGATCGAGCTTAATGGAAATTTGGTCGTGGTTTATTGTTTAAGAGAGTGATCTTTTCTTCACGATAAATTAGAGTGACTTGTGATAATCTTTTTTTAAACTGCATATTTTTAAAATATTTCTACTCTTGAAATTAATTCAGTAGTACATTCATATTTTGAGCGAAAGAACAGGAAAGGGAATAAAAAAATCCCAGAGAACTTTTAAAAATATAAATGTATGTTTTGTTTAAGCATTCAAGTAAGAAAAAATATAGGAATATAAAACAGTATAATAATACAAAATGAAATAGATATTATTTTTAAAACTACTTTAGCAATCTACCGATAATTATTAGATTCAGAACTATTAAGTTTTCGGTTACTCGAAAGTGCTGGCACTTTCCCCTGGCATCAGCATCGCATTGCTTACAATTGTAAGAACAAGTGTTGTGATTTTCAATCATCAAAATTTCTCGCAAAATAAGATTGAAAAATATCTTTCTTATTCTTATCGACAAATCTAATATTAAGATTAAACTTGAAAACGACAGAATATTAATTATTTAAAGTTATTTTTCCTACGTTTGAGCTTTTCATTGGATCATTTGGAAAATAATGTCATTAATTAATTTAATTTTATGGCTAGATAATATCCATTGGACTCAGTAAAGTATCTTCCATGTTATTTCTTAGAGCTATAATATTCTCGAGACAAAGTTTAAAGTTTGGTCTATTATTCGCTGGACTCCAGAGACGCAGCATTAACTCGTACAAAGTCGGTGGACAATTGAGAGACGTCGGCAACCTACCTCCAGCGCGTACATAATCTATCACTTCCAGATTAGTCCTGCCAATGTAAGGATGCTCACCCAATGATGTAATTTCCCATAATAGAACTCCGAATGACCAAACGTCGCTCTGGGAAGTAAATATTCCGATCAACAAAGATTCCGGTGCCATCCAGCAAACAGGAAGCCGACCTTGTGCTTTCTAAAACAAGTGGTTTTAGCGAAGTTAATCGTCTGGTTTATGTTGTCCATTTTAAGAGCATTTGTATTAGAACGAAAAACGTTTATTTATTTCTTGTTTTATATGTATAAACAGAAATAATCCATCTTTCTTAAGTTCGACTCAAAGTAAAAATGTACTATATTATTACGACAAAAAAAGAACACATAAACATTTTTAAAAAATTTCATCTTTTTACACTAATTATATTTACCACGCGATAATAGTCATCTTTGTAAACATCTCTAGCTAGTCCAAAATCGCCAATTTTAATGACACGGTTTTCGCGATCTCTGGCGGATACTAAGCAATTTCGACAAGCGAGATCTCTATGAACGAAACGCAGATTTTCCAGGTAGCAACAACCTCGCGCAACATCTTCGCACATAGCAAACAAATCTTGCAGACGCAGAGCGTGCAAATCTGACGGTTGTAATTTTCGACTATTTCTCAAATATTGTAGCAGATCACCAATTTCCATTAATTCCAACACAATTTATTTATATTTAATTATTAGTCAAACATTTATATAATATACCTGAAGAAATTACGTCATATAATATCTTGTAATTTGTTGTTTTTCGCAGCCATGAATTTATAGTTTCTGCAACATTTATATTATTTCTGAAATCTACTTTTGAAATCGAACAATTAAATTTATTTACGCATATTGATGAAAAAGCCGCCGTTAGCTCAACTGAATTTTGAACATATACTGCGGTTTTTAGATGCAATTCGATGTTTTCGATATCCTAAAAATACATATAAACATATCATTATACAGAAAAATTTTTTATTATAGTATATTTTTTCATTCTTTATCTTACATTTAAATTAGTAAGCATAGCTAGGAATCCGTCTAAATGTATATTATCAGTAATTTTCAAAAGAGACATCAATTCATTCTTTGTTGCTCCTTCTTTAGCGCCGTTTAAAAGTAAGGATGTTATCATAATTATATTGATAGGACTAAATACTGTGTTTTCTCTGTGTAACAATTGTTTCTGTGGCAAAACATAAATTAAAAATTGAGCAACTCAGAACTTATATAAGATACAAATACATCAATTACATACTATATACGATGGATCTTTTAGACTTGATATATCCTTTAATTCTACATATGTTATAATCGCTGTAGATAGATTAGCAAATATAGTTTCAGTCTTGCCGCTAAATAACATTGATGCATCGAAGGCACACACAATGTTAGCGATGATGATCGCAAATAACGCTGTAAGGGAAAATAGTTCGTTATGAAATCAAGAAAAAGCGGTTATTTCTGAGTATATTAATAATTTATGGTTCAGGTACTGAAATTTATATATTATTATATATATAGAACTATATGTATATTATTATTATTATAAGAAACATTTTTTAATAGTGATATATTATTACCTGTACGCATTATAACAAAATTCCAATTCTATGATATATGTATAAAAAATATATACCTATATCAAGTAAATTGAAGGATAAATTATTATATTTAATATACGTGTTTCATGTATGTATATAACTTTTTCTGTTCTTTTCTTAATTTTTTTTATGTGCCAAGACTCAACCGTTATTTTAAATGACTGACTAAGATTCTTCAATAAAGCTTCCAAATTCAGAAATTTAGAACAGACAAATTATTCGGTTCAATTTTAATCGAAAATTCTCTTCTTTTAACATCGGTTAGATACTAGCTGCGTTGTATTTGCGCCAACTGTTAAAAAAACTATAAAAAATAACTGCAGAGAAAGAACATATTATTTTGGAATAAAATTTAAATTAGTCTCACGTGCTTTTATAGACGGTCTCAATTTACTTTAATAATTGATTTCCAACTTTAGGAAAAAATTTCGTATGAGATCTTCAATGGCACTTCTGTTGCAATGATTAGGAATAATTGATACCACCGATGACGGTTCACGACTGTTTAATACGGGTCTACCTAAGTCTCTGGAACGGTCGTTACAGCAGTATTATCGTTTGCGGTGTCATATAGAGGTGACTGAAATTGAAAAGGGAGAAAGAGAGAAATAGAGTTGATAAACTTTCTTTTTGTTATTCTTTTCGAAACTCACGCTTTACCATATGCATATGTCTTATAATATTAGCCTTCTCAATTTAAATTTTATTTTTAACAGAAGAGCCTTATCAGTTCTTTACTTGAATAATAAATGTTTATAAAAGTTCTTGTAATCTACAAATTACACATATAAATGCTGTAAAATATTTTTTTGATTGCTGCATGTTTATATTTTTTTAAGATAAGCAAACTTTTTTTTCATATAAAATTATGGATTATTATATTTGTCTATAATGATAGAAAATAACTAAAGAGGGTTTGTAATAAACAATTTCATATATAAAATATATGATTATAATACCACGATGTAGTTTATTATATACCTATAGTCATAACGTATTTAAAATGTAAAAGATAAAAGAAGTTAAAGAGAAAAATACTGCGTATTCGCCTGATTGATGTCTTTGACATTGGATTAAAAATAAAATTTGAATTGATGCTTGAAAAATTTATTAACATAAATGTATATGTTTTGAGACAACGTATTATAAAATATAATCAAAACTGTTAAAATACTTTAAAATTAAAAAATTTGATATGATTATCAGCAAACATTCATGGAATAGAATTGTATAAAATTTTATTCCAGTATAATTAACTCGACGTTTTGCCCATTAAAAAAAAACCCTGGAATCTGTAACGTAAAAGATTCGCAGATCTTTGAACTGACCATATTCTATAACAGAGTTTATAAAATAATAGTAACCGGTTGAATCTATCAGCGATCGCCAATGAATCGTTGTAATCCCATTGGCGATTGCGACAAGTATCGACAAATATTTCAAATAATTTGAGATATGATTAATAACTAATTATTTTTTATATACGTTAAATAATACGTAAGTATATCGCTTGAATAAATTTCAAAGCGCATATTTCGCGTGATAATTACACATTTAATAAAGAATCGAAGTGACAGGAATCAAAATTATAAATTATTGTTTTGTTGCAATCTCTTTCTCTTTTTCTCTTTTTATAGGCATAAATTATTTTACTAACAATACTTAAAGTTAAATTATATTTTATCCGATGTTATTTCATTCAACTTTTCGACGATCCCTAAATATATTTCAGATTAAAAACAATCAAATCACAGAATCATAACTAGCAGTAACAAAAAAAGCTTCGTGATAAATCGTTTAATAAATAATTAATCTATAATTTAAGATATTTGTATAATTTAATATTCCGCGTATATACAAAATGATTCAAAAGATTACTGACAAACTTCAGGAGCGTACAGAGAACTCGGAATATAACAATACAGCAATTTTATTTCTAACCTAACCCAAACTTATTTTCAGTTTTAAAAGTAAAGTTGGGTTGGGTTAGGTTAGAATTTTTTTTGGGTAGAAATGCAGAGGTATGGACTCCGCCTCTCCCCCGCCCACGCAATTAATAAATAATATTTTTCAAGACAAGACTCAGAAATTCCTGTAGTCGCTTGTTGAAAGCTGTTAACGAACTGCGAGAAATAAATGAAATCGATTACTGACAAATATCTATGACCATGTACCTATCCCGTAAGTATAAACAAACACTTTTTCCATGTCAACAATCGTCTATGCAGACGGCCAGCAATCTTAGTACATGTTTATGTCGGAAGTGATTCATAAGCCTAGCCTCTTCTAAAAACTTCTTTTTCTCTTGCAAGGAAGCATTTTTTCGAAGCATTTTTATGGCAGCGGATATCTCTATGCCCGGTCTTTCTCAATTCTTTACTGTTCCTCCTGAAACACCTGCAAAATATTTAAAATAAACTTAAATTTATATTTCATTAAAAAATATATAGTTTAATGTCAAATGACATTATATATTTTATTTTGTATTAAATAATAACGAAAAATACATAGTAGAGTGCATGTTATTTCACAAAAACTTTGCATTACTTATAATCTCTTATAAAAAGTTAAGTATATAATTATTTTTATCGAGAAACACGTATCTGTCTCAATTTCTGTAGACCTAGAAATTAGCGAAACATTGAAAAAGTTAGTTTTTACCTTTCCAAATGCGCCGCTGCCTAAAAGTACCTCTAATTTTCTCACGTTTGATTTTGGTCAGTATATATTCATCCAAATTATATTGCAGCATAGGACTGTATAACGTATTGAATTGAACGTTACCGTTAGGTATCTCATGTAGAATCGCTAATTCGATGTCGGTCATTATCGGAGGCAAAACTTGCTCGTTACTTTTTTTACGTTGTCGATACACTGTTATGATATTGTTAAAATTGCAATATATTTACTTAATAGAGAGTAGGCATTGCAAAATTTACATCGTTTTTCTAACAAGTAAATTAACTTTTCTTAGAAAATCTCTTATAATCTCTCTCTTTCGCAATTAAAGAACTAAATGCGTATCAAATATACTTACAGTAGTAAAAGTAGCAGACGCAGATTACAGTAACTATAGCGACAAAGCTTATGGTGAATGATAGGTAATATTGCATAACCGATATTCCAGAAGTGCTCGAAATATCACCTTTGTTACGCAAAAATATACTCTTAATATATTAATTTTAATTAAAAACTTACTCCTACTTATAACATTACTATTAAAAATTACTAAGTTTTTAAACTTTGTAAATATTTTTATGTTTAAAATAAGTATATAATGTTATAATCTTCATTTGCTTACTTGTCAGTGTTGAAAAAGTAAATCTTCCATCAGACAGCCATATAAAGTCTTTCTCGTATTTGGGGTATTTCAATATCAAATGAAACTCGTATAGAGTTCCTGGTAGTAAGTTTTCTATGTAGTACGTTACTTTCTCCCTTTTATTCTGCTCAAAGTCGTCTACAGTTTGCCACTTCTGCATCTCAACATTTTTGTATTCCAATAAGTAATAAACCATATTAACGCTAGGAATCCACGAGATATTCATACCGTTTATGCTGTTACATCCAGACTCGGCGAAGGATGAGTCGACGGAAGGGCGCAACAACTATTTTTAATTTTCTAGAAATTAAACGTTTCGTGGCGTTTCGAATCGGGTCGAACGAACTGACAGGTTTGAAAAGCAGGTAAACGACTGAGTCGCTGTTACGCTGGTTATTCAGACGTTCGTTCGGTGGTCCCTTTTTGGTAAGAGAATTTAATCTCTTTTACGCGGGATGGGACCAAGTGCGATCTTTCGACTAGAGGAATGAGTGGGGGGTTTAATAAAGAGTTATTTTGATTTTTAAATTAACAAAACGGAATGAATGCTTGTAAAATTTATTAACATAAATGTATATGTTTTGAGACAACGTATTATAAAATATAATCAAAACTGTTAAAATACTTTAAAATTAAAAAATTTGATATGATTATCAGCAAACATTCATCGAATAGAATTGTATAAGATTTTATTCCAGTATAATTAACTCGACGTTTTGCCCATTAAAAAAAAAACCCTGGAATCTGTAACGTAAAAGATTCGCAGATCTTTGAACTGACCATATTCTATAACAGAGTTTATAAAATAATAGTAACCGGTTGAATTTATCAGCGATCGCCAATGAATCGTTGTAATCCCATTGGCGATTGCGACAAGTATCGACAAATATCTCATATAATTTAAGATATGATTAGTAACTAATTATTTTTTATATACGTTAAATAATACGTAAGTATATCGCTTGAATAAATTTCAAAGCGCATATTTTGCGTGATAATTACACATTTAATAAAGAATCGAAATGACAGGAATCAAAATTATAATTTATTGTTTTGTTGCAATCTCTTTCTCTTTCTCTTTTTTTATAGGCATAAATTATTTTACTAAAAATTCTTAAAATTAAATTATATTTTATCCGATGTTATTTCATTCAACTTTTCGATCCCTAAATATATTTCAGATTAAAAACAAACAGTAAAACAATCAAATCACAGAATCATAACTAACAGTAACGAAAAAAGCAAAAAAGATCCTATTCTTCTATGATAATTTTATTGCTATTGGTGCAGCTGTGTTTATTGAATATTTGTTGGAAAATTTTATTATTATAGATGCAGCTGTGTTTGTTGGGTATTTCGTTAGAAAAATTTATATTACCTTGAGGAGACCGGCATGTTTTTATCATCGATCTTTTACGTTGGTCTGTTTACTGAGCGGTTCGTTTGTCTCACCAATCGACGATCGTTGCCGACACTTCGCGGAAGGAAGGAATCGTGGAATCGCCAGGACGTAACAATGCTAACCTCGCTTAAAGTTATATTGTTTGGTTCCGAATACATGTACAAGGTTTTGCTCAAACTGTTATTATAATGATCGCTGAAATTGGCTGGATATATGCGTACAAATACCCTATATTTCTGTCCTGGTATCAACGGTTCGATTATCGTGAAAAATTTGCTGCCTACTTTATGTTTGGTCGTATTAATAGGCATCTCGTTTATTTGTCGCGTACTGTTGGTAATTAACGTTCAGTATACTTCGTAGATCACTGAGACGCAGTTTAATTTTTTGGATGGCATCCAATAAACTGCCGCTATAATAGGCGTCAGAGCCTGAACTGTCACATTTTCCGGTGCGTCAAACTTGCTCGGTTTAGTTTTTATTGTTAGTATCACTTTCGAATCGAGTAATAGATCCATCGATAATTGGTCGGAGTAAAAATTGCTTATTCTATACTAGCTGTAATTTGTATTCTGTAAGCGGCATTAAATTTTGAATCTCGTAATACCGCTCATATGTCTGCACGGTGAAATTATCGAACTTGTTAAACTCATTGTTCAAACAATAGCTTGTGATATTGATAGTATATAGGGTGGTAGGTATTGTACTTTTTGCATCCACTTTTAGGGACCGGCTCCGGAAGATTTACGATGATGCTGTTTGTCGTTACCGTGTACGTCGATTCTTCTACGTTGTAAATTTTTTTGTCAGGTGTCAGACATCTCGTCGGAGGATACGATTGCAAAGATGTATCGAAAGCATAAAATTTAAGACTATAAGACTTTTCTATTTTTTGGATATATTTGAATGCGTCTATGTTCTCGAAAAGTACATACTTTTTTTCCAAAACATACATATCATAATTGTAATTTGAAATGTAAATGTTTGTTTTGTCTATCGCTAAAGATTTAAAGTATATTTCATAGCCAGTTCTGTTGGTTTACAAAATCAAATTGCACATAGAAACGTTAATGTCTGTTACAAACAAGAGTGTTGTCA